CAGTGGAGGAGTGTCCCTGAGGGGGGTCACGGATGGGATCCGCCATCACCCTGTTGACGGAAATTCTGAGTGTGGCAGTGTGTGATTGCATACATTCAACATAAACTATTCATATGGTTTATTTATTTCAAATGAAAATCTAGAAGAATTTTTCAGTGACTCAGTAGTTGTGTACCTTTTGAGCACAATCCGTGGAGCTAAAATTTTGGTTTTGAAAACCGGTGTTTCATGTATATGACGGGCTTCACTCATCCAGAGGAAAGATAAATATTTTCTTTATCTTTGGATCCTCCAAAAATGTAACCTTAGGCCTTGCTAGACCTCTGAGAAGTCCTGTCTGACAACGCAAAGTGGAAAAGGCTGACTAGAGACTAATCCATCATCACTCTGGTGAGAAAAGAACCTACGACCACCCTCCAGTCTCCGTAGTTAAAATTCCAGAACTGGGGGTGGGGCGGTGGGGGGGAGGGGCGGAGTACATTGATTATTAATGCTAAGGAGAGACTAGGGGGCGAGCTGGCCGCGCATCTGTTCCCTATCTGTTACGGAGGACCAGAAAAGAAGCCGAGGTTGCCCGGGGTGTAAGTGTGAGCTTTGGTTATTTATGAGATGATTCAGCCCACATCCCAGGTAGACGCGACAGCGGGTTTCAGGAAGAAAGCTCGCGCAGTTTCCTGCAGGCCGTGACTGCAAGTCCAAGAGAGCCAAGCTTAACGTCTCTCCTCCGCAACCTGCTGGGGGGCCACTCGGGGCTGATTCACCTGCACGTCCCGATCGCCTGGACTTGAACCTGGAGAGCGTCCTCGGCACCCTCCGAAGCAGTCCCTGCCCATTCAGGAGGGCCGCTGGTGCAAACACCTGCTTCCAGGGGCATAGACCATCCGGAGTGCGAGGGAGAGTCCCCGCTGGGTATGGAGACGCTAGGTCTCTCCTGGGTCCTCTGGCCTCCCGCATTTCCTGCTGGGCGGCTATTAACAACTGTAACATGCAGAATGAATTCCCAAAAACCTCTTACCGAGGGAGCAGGGAGGCACAATGGGGAGGACACCAAGCTCTTCTGGGTCCCTGTCCCTCCCAAACACCAAGACAGCCCTAAAGGCATTAAAGTAACTCTCGAGAGGTCGAGGACTGTATTCTAAACGTGTGCCTTACATCCAGGCTTTGGGAGACTTCCCAGATGTTATCAAATAGGAGCCTAATTTTTTTAAAAAACCCAAAATGAACGTTAAAAGCAGAAATAGAATGAACCTCATTTTCTAGGCACGATGGGGCAAAACCAAAAGTGAAAAGGAAAACCACGATAATGGGGCGCCTGAGTGGCTCAGTCGGTTGCGCGTCCGACTTGGGCTCAGGTCATGACCTCACGGTTCGTGGGTTCGAGCCCCGCGTCGGGCTCTATGCTGACAGCTAGTTCAGAGCCTGGAGCCTGTTTCCCATTCTGTATCTCCCTCTCTCTCTGTCCCTCCCCTGCTCGCTCTCTCTCAGAAATAAATAAAACACTTTAAAAAATTAAGAAAAAAAAAAGAAAACCGTGATATTGTCTAGCTTTGGCTCAAAGGGGAACTGTGATGAAAACTGCAATAAATAATTTTGAAATCACCAGTAAGAACACTGTGACCATTGAGATTAGCACTTGACCCAGTGACTGAGTAAAACGTTCTGCATTTGACCCAGTGACTGAGTAAAGCGTTCTGCGCTCACCCAGTGCACGGGCAAGACTCCAGTCTTGAGGGCCTAAATAGAACAAAAACGTCACGAAGAGCGAATTCTCTTGCTCTCTTCTTGAGCTAGCAGGTCCATCTTTTCCTGCTCTTGAACATGAAAGCTCCCGGTTCTCTGTTTTTCAGACTCAGGGCTTATACCTGCAGCCTCCCAGTTCTCAGGCCTTCCACTTAGGACTGGGAGTTACACCGTCAGCTCCTCTGGTTCTTACGTGTTCCAACTCGGGTTGAATTATACTGCCAGCCTTCCTGGCTCTCCAGGTTGCGGATAGCACATTATGGGACTGCTCAATCTTCATAACTGCATGAGCCAATTCCTGTAATTTCTCTGTCTCTACATATATATATAATATGTATATTATTTTTATATATTTATTTGTATTATATAATTATACATTATATTTATATTATATATATGTGTGTGTTCTATTTCCCTAGAAAATCCTAATGCAAACATTATATAAAAAATATAGAATGTGACTAAAACCGTATTTAGAGGAAAATCAACAACTTAAATGTTTTTTATCATTTAACAGCAAAGAATTAAAAGACAGTATCCCGGGGCACCTGGGTAGCTCAGTGAGTTAAGTGCATGACTCTTTGATTTCAGCTCAGGCCATAATCTCACGGTTTTTGGGTCTGAGCCCTGCCCTGGGCTCTGCACTGACAGCGTGGAGCCTGCTTGGGACTCCCCCCGCTTCCCCCAACACCCCCCGTCCCTCTCTCTCTCTGCCCCTCCCCGGCTTGTGCTCTCCCAAAAAAATAAACATATAAATGAATGAATGAATGAATGACATATCCTGAATATTTATTGAAGGCTTATACTGTGTAAGGCCTGAACACTACATACCTCATTTCTTCCTAGCACTGCTGAGATGGTACTGGTTTTTGCCCTTCATAGTACTTCAGAGGTAGGTATTTTGCCCTTACCGTTCTGAACTGTTCAGAAATCTAATCAGACACATCCACACAGTGTTCTCACTAGGATATCCATTTCCAAGATTTCGCGTATCTCTTGATCCGGTGCCACAAGTATTTATTGGCACATGTTACCTATAGGACCGTATAACAAAGCAATGAGTAACGGATGTTCTCTCCCCTGGAAAACCTCGTTGTGCGTGTATGCTACAGATGGTGGGGAGGGGGGGTGGCTCACATTATGACCGCGACTGAGCCTACGAGCTCAACTTGCCCATAGGAAATGCTCAGAATGATGCATGAACCTGGCACCGTGGCTGCAGAGAGGAACGTGATTCCAAGTTTGGGCGGGGGCAGGAGTCAACTGTGGTGCTTGTTATCAGAGCTCACGGGAGCGGGTCTGAGCTGTTCAATCAGTTAATGGGATGGAGGCAGGAAGAACGTACACATTTCCACTTTATTGAAATATTGCATAGATACAGAGCAGTTGGGCACATCCGTTCTAAGGCACTGTTCTGGTTTGAATGCAAGTCCACAAGAGAGAAAAGAGAAGCCATTACATTCCGTAGTTTTCATCTCTACATTCAGACTCCTCCCGTGTTACATGTTTATTGCTACTGGGATGTCAATTGTAACCCCACGCTTATAGCAGCATCATACAGGGACCTGGATGACAAGAATTAAAGATACGTCCTGGCTGGAGCACTGGCTATGCTTTGGCACTTGATTATAAACTCTCTTGCATTGTTCTCCGTTTGTTTCCCAACTCCTGTTTAACTAATGATATTCTGAACTCCTCATGAACTGGACTCACGGATTAACATCTTCACTAGTTTCCATTAAGCCTAGAACAGGACCAGTTAGGCACATGGCACTTGCCCCTGAAATACTTATATTCAATATCACTTCCAAGAACTTCAATGGAATAGAACAAAATACGCTTTCCCTAGTGCTAGTTTAGGGAAAGAATGACTGGTATCTTCCTAAAGAAAAGACACTTGAATATCCTACTTCTTGTGTTTTATAACAAGGAACTAGGCTGAACGAGTATTTTCATGTATTAACAGCTATACCTGACAAAGAGAGTTCTTCCCTTGCCACAGGAATTTGAGTCCTTACCATGACTATACGAGGACGTTTACATAAGTAGCAATATGTGTGTGTGATTATAAGTAAAATTCAAAGAGGTTGAGAATCACTGAGAGACTTGTAAATTACCTCAATCAGTGACCGTCGCCTCCTTAAAATGCTGTGTGTGTGTTACATAAAAAATGTATATACGTAAAGAATTTTTCATAACACCCTGGAAACAACTGGAGATAACTAGGCTTGGGAGCAAGGAGACTACAGGGGTAGCTAAAGAAGTTGTTAAAGGCAGTGTGTTCCAAGGAATATTTGCAGAATACTAGTTCTGTGGGGTATTACTGGGTATACAAGAAAAAGGGTCCTGGGGTCAAATAGCTTTGCAAAACATTGAGCCAAAAGAGGTGCTTTTCCCACCTTTACAGAGGACCTCTAAAGAGAGAGGTCTTGATGGGCACTGTGCATCTAGAAAGTGGAGTCAGCAGGGATTCCCGAACTTATTTGTAAACTATCTTGTACAGCTAGGTGCTCTATGACCCACAGTTAGGGGGACACTGAATTCAAGAATGGGCAAAATCTTAAAAACACTGAGACACACTGGTGAATACTGAAGGAGAATAAAAAGCCACAGACACTGGCTTCTCTGTCAATCTACATTAAACTGGATTCTACTTGTGCGACATCAACTGTCCCATGGATTCTTCCACAAAAAGCTTAAGTTAGTCTGTGAACAAAGTAAGTCATCACATTAACACTCAGCTGTAAGCGGCCTCACCCCAGACCGCCAATGAAACGGACTGGCGAACTTTGCAAAATTCCTAAGTAAAGGTCAGAATCCTGATTCCCTTAAGCAAACAACGTCAGTGGAAATAACCCAGCTCTCGCCAGGCAAATGTGTTCTCGACACATTTTTTATTATTTGACAAACATACACTGTCTCCTTTCTTGCTACCTGGGGCACACAGAAGGCTTTGAACTAACACAACACTCTTTAATGACAGCAGAAGAATTACGGTGCTGTTTTAGTCATTATGTTGATAGTCACGACCGTCCACCCTATTGGCCCTCCTCTGAAAAGGACTGTCAGCAATCATATGCTTTCCGCCTCTATCTAGGAAAGAGTTGGCTTGGGACACAAACCATTTCAATGTTAAAAAAAAAAAAAGTCAGAGAGACAGCATAAATCAAAACTGGGGATGTTGGAAGAGGAGATGGATACTCTAGAACTCATAAACTTTGGAAGAAGGGTTTTTAAAAGTAAGTTTTTCAAACGTGTTCTCCTAAGCTCTAACAGAAAGATTCTTTCAAGACAAACAGGCTTCTGTAGGTTACTTTTTTTTTTTTTTTGGAGTTAGTGTCAATTTCTGCTAGGGACCTGCTTATCTCCAACAACTGTTAAAGAAGTCCTCTGAAGTGAGTGACTTGGTGCATGATAAGGCCCGCCCTCTGCCTGAAGCTCTTAGAACAGTGAGTACACTTGTATGGCTTCTCCCCTGTATGAATTCTTAAGTGAATCACAAGGCTTGGTCTCTGTCTAAAGCTTTTCCCACAGTAATTACACTTGAAAGGTCTCTCTTCTGTGTGAGTTCTCTGATGCAGAGTGAGGGCTGTCAGCCTACTAAAACTTTTCCCACAGCTGTGACATCTGTGGGGTTTTTCACCCGAGTGAGTTTTCAGATGCCTTTTGAGACTCGACCCGTGACAAAAGCTTTTCCCACACTCAAGACACTTGTACGTCTCTTCTTCAGAGTGGGTTCTCTGGTGCCCTATCAGGTGTGACCGCCGAGTGAATCGCTTTTTGCACACCGTGCATTCATAGGGCCTCTCCCCGGTATGAAGTCGTTGGTGTCTATAAAGGTCTGAACTACGAAGGAATCTTTTCCCACACTCGGGGCACTTGTGAGGTTCCTCTCCCGAGTGAATCCTCTGGTGCCCTGTCAGTTGCGACTTCCGTGCAAAACACTTTCCGCACTGAGGACATCGGTGAGGTTTGTCCCCTGGACTCTTTTTCTTCTGGGGCCTGGGGTCCAGAGGTTCTTCTAAGTGGGAATTCTCAGGTTTCTCTCCTGCAGAGGCGCTCTGATGGTCTACCAGTTTTGTTAAATCTGTCTGTAAATCCTCTGGGGGGCTTTCCCACGGACTCTCCAGCTGTACATAGTCTTTCTGCAAAATGGGACCATGGAGAGCGTTCCCCTCTAAAGTAAGAATAAAGGGATACATATTCTCCAGCTTCTTCTGTTTTGAAGGATCATCTTCGTCCTCTATCCCAATCTCAAAACCTGAGGGAAGAAACAAAAGCTGCAGATGTCACTGTGCCCCACAGAGAGGGACACAGGAGGGAAAATGAAGAGTTGCATGAAGCCACCAGTAGGAATACAGACATTCCTAAGTACAACCTCAAACCCTTTACCCTGATTATAGTTGAATTTTTCTTTCCTTTTGTCCATGATATCAATGAGCAGTTACTTACCTAGCTTGGAATCAAGTAATTGTTTCATTTCTTTGGAATCCTGTAGTTCTTTCACCCATGCCTCTTCTCGAGGCTCCAACGAAAAGTTCATGTCAAGCTTTGGTATTGGATATCCTGGCCATAAGAAAGATGAGAAGCATGGGTTTTCCTTGACGATATTGTAGACATGTGGGCACTTAATGTCTACTTTCTTCCCCATTACTATTACTCCACCCAAGATCTCTTCCAAGAGACTCTCTTTTTTGAAGATAAAAATAAAACATGTAATGAAAGAACATCCCTTTGTGCTCAATTCAAGGCCATTCTCCTCTGTGGAAGGGGAGCAAATAATTTCTGTGTTCAAAACAAAGCACTAAACGATTTCTGTATCTATTTTGAGATTTGATTTATTCAGGTTAGAGCCAAATAGGAAGTAAGTCTTTATAACGGTTTGGCATATTGAAACTGACAAATGCTGCTATTGATACCAAGTGAAAAGAAAGCTAGAAGCTGGGGTTATGAGGGGCGCCTGGGGGGCTCAGACAGTTACGTATGTGAGTCTTGATTTTGGCTCAGGTCATGATCTCTTGGTTTGTGAGCTTGAGCCCCGAGTCAGGTTCTGTGCTGACAGCTCAGAGCCTGCTTGGGATTCTCTCTCTCCCCCTCTCTCTGCCCCTCCCCCGCTCGTGCATCTATGCATGCTCTCTCTCAAAAATAAACTTAAGAAGTTAATAAATAAGCGTAGGGGTTATGAAACTATTTACTAGGAAATTTTCCATTGAGATTTTCAAATAAAATGGAAAATGACTAGGTTGCCAACAAGCATAAGCAGTGTTTATGTTTACCTCAGCCGAAGTCTAGATGTGCACTCTCTTGAAATTAACCCAAATAACTATCCAACAGTATTTCTCACTGTCAGTCTAAGAACAAGTAGGACAAGTTCCTACACTCACTGGCCCCCTGTGTTCTACCCCCCCTCTCCCCACTAAGAGCAGCTGTGGCTTGCATTGTCTTTTCACGACCCTCCTCACCTTCCTCAGCTCTGGCACAGTATATAGGTCCGCAATAAAGTGTGGGATGAAAACTGCTAACTTGAAATCTACATGCAGGATGCTGTTTAAATATTAGCAATATTTTTTAAATAGGAGCATTATTAAAATAACATTAGCCAATGGCATGGCTAGAAATTGACCCAAGGGATACAGGAGTGCTGATGCACAGGCGCACACGCACCCCAATGTTCACAGCAGCACTCTCAACAGCCACATCATGGAAAGAGCCTAACTCTTCCATCAACTGACGAAATGATCAGGAAGATATGGTTTATGTGTACCATGGAATACTCCATGGCAATGAGAAAGAATGAAATCTGGCCATGTGTAGCAACGTGGATGGAACTCGAGGGTGTTATGCTGAGCGAAATAAGTCAGGCAGAGAAGGACAAATATCATATGTTTGCACTCATACGTGGAACAGGAGAAACTTAACAGAGGACCATGTGGGAGGGGAAGGGGAAAAGTTAGTTTCAAACAGAGAGGGAGGCAAACCAAAAGAGACTCTTAAATACTGAGAACAACTGAGGGCTGATGGGGGAGGGGGAGAGGGGAAGGGGGGGTGATGGGCATGGAGGAGGGCACTTGTTGGGATGAGCACTGGGTGTTATATGAAAACCAACTTGACAAATAAAAGTTTCCTCAAATTCACTATATTGTTGGGGCGCCTGGGTGGCTCAGTCAGTTAAGCATCTGGCTCTTGATTTCGTCTCAGAATGATCTTGTGGTTAGTGAGTTTGAGCCCCAAATCAGGCTCCGTGCTGAGAGTGTGGAGCCTGCCTGGTCTCCTCTCTCTGCCCCTCCTCTGTGGGCTCTCTCACTCGCTCTCACCTGCTCTCTCTCAAAATAAATAAACTTAAAGAAGATAAATTCACTATATTGTGTTTGTTTAGATTTCAAAGCTAAGAGTGGGATCAAGCATGCTGTGGCACAGGCAAACAAAACCGGGGGTTACAGATCAAAAGAAAGCTGTCATGAGGGAAATCTGAAACTTGAAAGAAGCAGACTAGCGAAGGCCTGGGTGTAAAATATGGATTTGTAACCGAAATGTAGTGGGGGAGATGGACTTCTAGCATATTGTGAGGAGCTCTGCAGACCTAATTCCCAATGAAACTAGTGAAAATTATTAAGAGCAAAAACAAACAAACAAACAAACAAAAAAAAACAACAGGGGCACCTGGGAGGCTTTAAGTCAGTTAAGTGTTCGACTCTTGATTTTGGCTCAGGTCATGATCTCACAGTTCACGGGATGGAGCCCTACACTGGGCTCCACGCTGACAGCTGGGAGCCTGCTTGGGATTCTCTCTCTTCCCCTCTCTGCCCCTCCCCTGCTTGCGTTCTCTCTAGCTCAAAAAATAAACAAACTTTAAAAAAATAAAAAATAAAACAAAACAAACATTGGACCTAAAGGCCTACAGCAAAGTACGAAACATCTATTTTTTTTTTAATCTGCTAAAATTCACAGGTAATAGGGAGATTCTTGAGGATTTAAACCACAGCAGTTCTCTTTGGTGCCTCTCCCGGCGCCACTCCACACTGGCATAACCAAGGGACCGAGGCAGCCTCTCCCCTGGCTCCCTTTCCGAGGGCCATCTTCTTGGAAGGGACAGGACCTCAGCTTTTCTCATCCTACCCCAGCTACCCAGGGTTGATTCTAAAGTCCAAACAATCGTGGCTGCAAGGTGGGGGCAGCTTTTGTCTACCCAGTCTCTACTGGTGGCGTGGGCCATCTACCCTGGGTGTCATCCTGGTGGGAACCCTGGAGTATTCCCTGAGTGTTCTTGTAAGGCAGTTGTGACTGTAAGGCACTGGTTCAATGCCTGGAGAGCCAACCCAGGAAGACCCGAGGGAGGGACCTAGTGCTCAGCTCCAGAAGTGCCAGTTTCACTCAGAGATAAACACTCCATTTCCCCCACCTCCAGAGCAACATATCAGAGATCCGGCCTCCGAGAAGCAGGCCTTAAAACAGGCAGCTCCTAATATATTCTCAAGAATAGGATTCCTTTACAACAGAGAGTGAAAAGATTCAAGCCTCAGGATATTCTAAAAAAGAGTACAGGTTATAATGACAGGCAGCCGGAAAGAGTGTGATAGATTTATGGACTATACACCCTAAGCCATAGGCTGACAAGTGTGCAGAAGAGATCTGGGGAAAAAGACAAGCTGGGAGGGGCCCTCCTGGGATCACAACAAATCAAGAACCTGACCTCAGGAGCTGGCCCAACAAAGGTATCTCAAATTGACTGGATTAGTCAGACAGAGAAATTATGCTCCAGGGTATTGTTGAAAACAATAGAGCAATTAGCTGGCAATTAACGGCCCTCAGGTCAGGGAGAGAGGCAGCCAAAGAAAGGCCTGTAAAAAGTACTGACCCACCAGGGTGACTGTGTGCACATCCAAGGCTGTGCACCCTGAGGCGCAACATCAAAAGGTTAACATTTCAGAGTGGACTAGACTTGACAAAAATAATGCGGCCATGACCAAACAAATAAGCAAACAAATAACAGTAACAAGCTCTGGGGAAGGGGAAGAAGGAATCGGTGTTGCTATGATACATCATCTAAAATGTCCAGTTTCCAACAAAACATGATGAGCTATGCATGCGGACAGGAAAGTATGACTCATATACTAGGAAAAAAAAAGCGTGAGGAACAGAATCTGCCTATGTGAGTGACCAGATACTGAATTTAACAAAGACTTCAAATAGCCATTATGAGTATGTTCCAAGAATGAAACAAATCCATGACTAAAGAAGTAAATCATGATGACAAACCACATCACATCACATCAAATAGAGAATATCGATAAACAGAAAGTATAAAAATAATCCCATGGAAATTCTGGAGCTGAAAAGTACAACTAAAATCAAAAATTCCCTAGAATGGCTCAAGAATGGATCTGAACTGTCAGAAGAAAGCAGTGAACTTGGAGACAGATCAGTAGAGATTATACTATCAGAAGAACAGGGAGAAAAAAAGAACGAAGGGAAGTGAGTGAATGGAGCATCAGAGAAAAGTGGAGTACCACTAAGGGCCATTATAATAGATACATAATGAGAAAACCAGGAGAGGAGTGAGAGAAAGGAGCAGGGAAAAAAAAAAAGAAATTGGAAATATAGTGGCCCCAAACTGCCCAAATGTGTTAAAAAGACATTCATCTGCACATCTAGGAAACTCAAGGAATTCCAAGCAGGACAAACACAAAAGAGATCTATAAACAGGGAACTCCAATAAAATTAAAGGCCAAGTTCTCACCAGCAACACTGGAGGCCAGAAGACAGTGGGACAACATATTCAAAGTGCTCAAAGAAAAATGAGAAAGGCCAACTGAGAATCTTATATTCAGAAAAGCCATCTTTAAAAAAATGTATGTGAGGGGAGCCTGGGTGGCTTAGTCGGTTAAGTGTCCAACTTTGGCTCAGGTCATGATCTCGCAGTCCGTGAGTTCAAGCCCCACGTTGGGCTCTATGTTGACAGCTCAGAGCCTAGAACCTGCTTCAGATTCTGTGTCTCCCTCTCTCTCTGCCCCTCCCCCACTCATGCTCTGTCTCTCTCAAAAATAAACATTAAAAATTTTTTTAAACGAATGTGAAATAACAATATTTCTTTTTAAAAAATTTTTTTAATATTTTGTTTATTTCTGAGAGAGAGGGAGAGACAGCGTGAGCAGGGGAGGGTCAGAGAGAGAAGGAGATATAGAATCTGAAAGAGGCTCCAGGCTCTGAGCTAACTGTCAGCACAGAGCCTGACATGGGACTCGAACCCATGAACCGTGAGATCATGACCTGAGCTGAAGTCGGACACTTAACCGACTGGGCAACCCAGGCATCCCGAAATAACAATCTTTCTAATAAAAAACTGAGAGAATTCATTGGTAGCAGTCTTGCCTAATAAGAAATACAAAAGGAAGGTACTCAGTCTGAAAGCTAGTGATTCCAAATGGTAATTCAAATCCACATGAAAAAACAAAGGGCACAGCAAGTGAGGGTAACTATAAAAGACAGTATAAATATTAATTTCTGTTCCTTTCTTCTAAGATTAAGAGAAAGAGTACAAGCAGGGGAGGGGCAGAGAGAGAGAGAGC